ATCCCGCTTGCTCTTTTCCAACACGCGCGCTGCGAAGAGAGACATGTGAGGAGTTTGAACGTGGCAAGATGATGATAGCCCGTTGACGTAAAGAAAGTAAGAATATCGTGAAACTCTGGTATTTCATGGCCGTCGACGAAGGGGGCGAGCGAGCGAGCGGGCCGATAGGGAAGTAACGCGACTATATACCAAAGTAACGTATCGGAGAGAGAGAGAGAGAGAGAGAGAGAGAGAGAGAGAGAGAGGGTGGAGGGGAGAAAGAAAGAGAAAGAAAGAGAGAGAGAGAGAGAGAGAGAGAGAGCGGAGGAATGCGTTTCCACGATACGGTCCGCTTTTCTCGGCGAATGAAAAGCAAACAGAAAAGTCGCGTCTTACCTCGATTCTACGATGTTCCATCGACCGAGTATGCTCACCCCTTCTTTTTCATTTCATTCCGCTTTCCTCTTTATCCTTCGCTCACAATTCTCAGGACACCTCGCGCCATTCTTTCCACGAATGCAATAAGAGCTACAGAGAAAGAGAGAAGGGGGGGGAGAGAGAGAGAGAGAGAGAGAGAGAGAGAGAGAGAGAGAGAGAGAGAGAGAGAGAGAGGAGGAGAAAAAGAAGGAAAGGGAGCAATGGGGAAAGGGTGAAACTGCCTCGGAGCGAACACCCCGGGAGAACTCTATGTTCTTCCGGCGACGCTCAATTATTACTCGTGCGCGGACCGGGTCAATCTCGGGCTACTTTAAATTACTTACCCGACGCGATATTCCGGCGGGAGGAGAAACTTCGCCGTGGCTTCCCTCCCCTCCCCTCTCCCTCTCCTCGGGGAAATTTCGTACGACAGATCGAAAACTAATTCGTCGCACGAGGTTCAAAACTAGAAGTCGGAGTGTTCCACGGACGTTGAACGCGCCCGCCGTAACGCGCGGTCAGGACACACGGTGGAAGCGAAAGACACGCGGGAAATGAGTCGAGCTTTGCGCTTCTCCAAGAGGAGTTTCACGGAATCGCGCGTTAGCCGATCCGAACGTAAAATACGTGCCTCCAGAGCGAGATAAATGTTGGACGAACGGAGAAATGCGGGGGCGCGCTCTCTCTCTCTCTCTCTCTCTCTCTCTCTCTCTCTCTCTCTCTCTCTCTCTCTCCCTCTCTCCGTTAAAATTGATATATGATGCACTGCTCACACAAATCACTGCTGTATACTTGTATTGAACTGCGTGGCTATAGATTGCTGTATTATTATATAGTTTACTACTAAGGCTGGAACCACAAAATTCTGTCAAATACTCTATTCTCTATGGGATTCGATCCCGGAGTGCAATAATTCTAACTCTAACTCTCTCTCTCTCTCTCTCTCTCTCTCTTCCTCTCTCTTCCGCCGAGCATGCAGCGCGTTATGCGCGTTGGCCAGAATAGCGTACGTACGTTACTACGTACGTGGACGAGGCGACGATCTGGCGGACGAAACAAGCGGAGGAAATTGCCGGTTAGTCGGCGACTCGATTTTTCAGAGCCAATAGCCGGTCGCGGATCGCCGCGCGGCGGTAACGCGAAAGGGACGAAAGAGCGGGGGCCGCCAGGGGGAGAAAAAGAGGAAAAGGGAGGTGCGAGCTGGCTGCATAGGACGGCTGTTGGAGGTAGCTCGGCGGTAGGAAATGAGATCTACAAGTGAGCGGACTGGACGCGGGTGCGCTGCCGAAATGCAATTTTCATCCGACTGCAGCCGCACTCCCTGCTCGCTCTCCCCCCCCTCCCCACCCCCCGTTCCAGCAGCCTGCCTCTTCGCCGCCGCCGCCGCCGCGGCGACTACCTGCTACGACTGTAGTCGTGCAGCGACTCTGCAATTCTCCCTGTTCTCTTCCTTCCTCGCTCGGCTGCTCGCACCCTCCTCGCACCCGGCCCTCCCCGATTTTTAGCCCGCGTCGTGCCGGCACTGTCCACCCCCGGTGGTATGTTTACCGGATTGATTGCGTCCGCGTAGACAAATAATCCGATATTACGATGAAACAATTCGCGCGATGTTGCGAGACACGCAGCGCGTTCTCACGCGGCGCGGCGCGGCGCGAGGGGGGAGGGGGTGCGACGGTCCGGTCGATCGATTTGCCGCGGATGATCGGCCGATGATGAGCCGTGACGCGTCGCGGCTCGTTTTTCCGACCGCCGATTATTTTTTTACGCCGGAACGACCGTCGCTACGCGCGAGAGGGGTAACGAAATTCGCGAGGACGGGGGGGAGCAGAAACGCGCGTACAGGAATTGCGGGGGCGCAGGACGAGCGGCGCAGCAGCGACGAGGATGGAAAGAGGAGAAACGGGGAAGCGAAACAGAAAAAACGAATGACTGGTTACCACTTCATCTCGAGCGCAGTCGAGCTGCGGCTAATTAATGCACTTTTGTCGGTTCGCACGAGCCCGCTCGCGCTGTGCACGACAGAGAGACGCGACGGAAAAAAGGGGTCGGCCTAGTGAGGAGGTTGAGGAGGAGGGAGGAAGAGAGAAACAGAAAAGTTCGCGTGTGTAGCAGGACGTAATAAAATTGCACGCCATGTTGTCCTTTTATAATATTCCGTGTGTTCCGTCACGCCACAGACGAAGGAATACAGGTCTAGCGGATGAAGGCAGAGTTTGCGCGCTCATGTGTGTGTCCTTGATGACGCAAAAGTCAGACGAAATAGGTTCGAAGGACAATAATAGAGGAAACTGCGACACATGAACGTCGCGGCGTTTCTCGAGAAATTTTCACGATAACGGCGTTCGATGTAAATCGCGAACGGGGGAGGGGGGGGGGTGACCGGTATTTCGGCAGGTTAGTTAAAAAAATGCAAATAATAGATTTGCAATTATATTGTACCGGCGAGAGCTTATGCATTAATTTGCGCCGTCCTCTGTATCCCCAGAAGATGAAAGAATTACGATAAAGTCGCAAGGAGGGAGTACGACGGCCAAAGTCGATTAAAATTCTTCAGCGACTCTGAAATTTATAAATAAATCGTTTTATAATTACTTCCTCTCCGCCCCCCCCTCTCCGTGCCCTCGTCATGATACATTCACCGTGAAAGGCACCGGCCCGCATTCTGAATGCAGATGCGTGTACATCGGGGCGACACGTCTTTCACACAGATTGACATCCATTATTCATGAATTTGTGTTTGATGTCTGCTCATCTGTAATTTCCAGCGGGCACATAAGCGCGAGATAAAGGAGGCGAAAAGTTCCTTCTTCGCTATATTCGGTGCTGACGAGAGTTCCCGGGAGATGACTCGGCAGTCGCGCCGACATTCCTGTTTCGCGATGACTGCGAAGGAATTCCGAGTGACCTCATTACCGTAACATCATGCGGATCTACAGCGGCGATATTTTTCAGAAACGTCTCGTCTCTCGTGACAGCTCGTGACTTATCGGGAACATTTACGCGGTTTACGCGGATGTTCGTTCATTAATGGCCGACGCGCGTAAGCTGTCTTAATAACGGTCTAAAAACGCGCGTATGATTCGACGCGTTGGTCACACACAAAACGAAATCGCGAGTGCACACGAGAGGCGACAACACAGCCAGCTGCTAATTATTCGGCCGGCTGTTCAAACAGTCGGCAGACGAGTCCGGCGCCAATGCTCGTAGAACATTGCCGAACATTGTCGAGCTTGCTCGGATAATCCTTTAGCGGAACGCGCTTGAGACATTTTCTCAAACGTCGCGGCCCATTTTTCCCGCTGAGCGGATATTTTCGTTTATCAGAGACGCGCGGAGAGCTGCAGACAGCCGACGCGCTGACGAGAGACCTGACGGCTTCCCGAGATGTGTCGCGCATGTTACAGAGGGTGACGCTGTTGAAGCTTCGTCCGACTCTTCAAGGTCCCGTCGCACCGTTCATTCGATTCCGCGAGCACAGCACGCGCGGCAATTGATTGCGCGAAGTGAAAACTGCCGGGTTCATCACGAGGTGCGGTAATTTGGTCTCGCGGTTTTAGCGTTGCTGCGAATGCCGCGAGGTCACGAGCGTGTTAGTTTTAATTTATTAGTCCTAATTTCGCTCCACTAGCCATTATGCGTGTGCTCGCGGCAGCTTTTTCCTGTTTTCCGTAAAAATATAATTGAAACAAAGAGGAACTCTCCGCATTCCCGCGCCGCGTTACCGACGCGGCAATAAAGTAAGATTTATGATGATTTATGGAATGACGGATTTTATCGTTGAAATTATATCGATATCGGAATCGAGCGCGCGCACACAACGCTACCTTCCGCCAGTTGTGTACTCATATCGCGCTGATTATCGGCCATCGCGCGTTTCAACGTAAACTTTCGTACACGCGCTCGCGATTCGATTACTGTACAGTTGAATGTCGCAGCGAAAATGTTTATCGGCTGATCGGGGACAAAGCGTCGACAGCGGATTACGGATTTAATCGGTTTCGAGGTGCGTAAAATCGAGAGCGAGCGTGCTCGAAAACGGAAAACAAGCCGAGCGAGTCCATTCACGAAAACGCCAATCGAAGCGAAGACCCGCGCTGCTCGCGCGAGACGTGCGAGCAGTTGAGGACGAAGTTACTCACGTTGGAAAGAAAGTGTCGAAAATACGCGTCGCGCTCGTGGAGAAAAGGAAAATCATGCGAAGAGCAATCGCGGATAATGAAGCATTCGACGCGGAGCGGAGTTTCCGCTAAATGTGCCGATAATTAAGAAATCGCGCGTCTCGAGGCAACGAACCGCGGAATATCGATTATGTCGACAATTTGGAACGGGAACAAGCCCCGTGTTATTCGCCGAGTCGGAGATAATGGAAGGTATACACACGGGGAGGGGGTGGGGGGTGGGGCGATGCGCGCATGCACACACACACACACACGCTCTTACTTGCGGATAATAACATCCCATTGTTGCCACGCGAGAGCTCACGAACGTCACTTTTGTTGTAACGGGCGCTCCGCGAGATTCCGCCGAGCGCGCGCGACTTCCCGCCGTTCTCGCGCTCGTTCGCTCGCGATTCGCCAGGAAGAGGATCAGCGCGGAATACTTACCAGAGGGCCAGCTGGTAATGGTGGACCGCGAGGTTCGGCTGCGACGTGTCTTTGAGGAAGTTGGCAAAGTTGTAATGCATCTTGGCGTTGTGGGGCAGGGACCGCAAGCCCGCTCTGAAACAAGGCGATTTGAGGTCAGGCAAGACCATCCTGCCGACCTCGAGACACGACCCTCACCACCCTCGTCATCCCGTATCTACGTTAGTTACGTTTCGCGACCCCGTACACAGCCAATCGGCGGCTGCACCGAGTTCGCGAGGCTCTGCAAGATTGGCAGCGCGCCAGTCTCCCTCGTTTAAGTCAGAACGAGGCGCGCTCGTCGCGAATGTCCACACACGACATCTTCGCGTGACGAGATGATTTTTGCCGTAATTGCGAGCTCCCGCGCGCGATTGCGTGCGTTAATCGTGAGCGTGAACGCGCGAGCGCCGGATTCCGAGTTACACTTGTCATGCACTTTGGAACGCGACGAATCGCTGCGCCGATCGGCCGGCTGCCGCCCGATAACGCGCCGAATCACCCCTCATCACGTACTTGATTAAAGTTTCCCTGGACGTCCAATCGTTGTTCCGGAGCACCGTCCTGAAACATCCCAGCGCCAGCAGAAGCACCATTCCCGTGGTGATCCAGCTTCTCCGTCGCGGCACGGCCGTCCAGCTCACCTGCATTCCGTAGACCACCAGGATGATCCATCCGACACTGCGAGAGAAACGGAGAGGGTGAGCATTCACCCGTTGCTCGTCAACGGCAACAATCGCTCACCCGAAAAAAAAGTATTCTATTTGTAAAGTGATGTTTCTCATTTGTACAGTAATTTTGCATATTCTAAGCGAAGCCTTCTACAGAGAAAGGATTTCGCTTTCGATAAAGCGATTAAAGTGAATCATTCGTCTAAAATTTATTAGATATTATTCTAACTGTTTTCCTCTTATTTCAAGAGGATTTCCTCTTGTATCAATTAATTTTCCTTCTGTATGAAGAGGAATATATTGATTTGAACGTCGACCTTTTTCATTCAGTCATGTTCTACCTCCAAACATGAACGCGAAAATAACCATATGCTCATGGGTCAGAATATTTGGAATGCTGTTTAAAAAAGGTATGTGTGTTGCTGTATAACATATAACAAAGATAATTTACCCATATTTGATCAGATAGTTTATAACCTATTGAAGTAAGAAGTTGAGTAATATACCGGTATATATTCTTTCTTTCAACTATGTTTCATACAATTGGTTATGATGAACATCTTTGTAGCTATAAAGTCCATAACAAAATTGATTGGAAATTTGTTTGTTATGATGATCTTGTTTCATTCGTGCTTACTTATTGTAGAACTGGAGCCAGAAGTACATCTATATATATATATATATATATATATATATATATACGAGGGCAGTCTGAAAAGTTTTCGGCCTAACAATGAAAGAAAATTTTTTTGCCGTGAGATATGTTTCATTTTTCAATATAATTCTCCTGAAACTTCAATACATTTATTCCAACGTCTTTCCAATAATTCAATACCATCATTAAAGTGTGTTTCCGGAAGGTTCTTTTCGCTCTGGTGTATACACGCAGAAAAAGGATTAGCCGAAGGAGCTAAAATACAGCTGTGATAGCTAAGATGTTTGAAATAGGGACAGCTAATGTCGTTGCTATCGAACCTAAATTTATTAGCTCTTCAAACTTATTCGTTGCGGTAAGTAAATATTAGCTGCTAGAAACAAATGACATGTAGCTGAATCCACTATGCTACCATATTCTTCGCAATATAACATAATAATATTTGCAGTATAAAGCTAAGAATTTTAACCAAAATTATATATTCTTCGTTATTCGTGTTAAGCAGTTTTAGCTACTTTAACCATCAATTTTAGATAACCAATAGCTGTAACTTTCTTAACTACTTATGCTAAGATGCGCTTTTGATTTTAAATAATAAAGTTATATTTTGTAATGAATACATTTTACCTCTGATAACCAATTTTTAGCAATGACAGTAAAACAGCTAAATTCGAACTAGCTACCGACATTTAGCTAACATCGCTAAATCATTTTTTTGCGTGTCAAGTGCTGGTCAAGTTTCATCAACAGTTATGAAACGACGCTTGAAATCCATTTTATTTTGCTTAAAACGATTAAAATGTGTCAAACACGCTTGAGAAATACGCATTCGAATGCGTTTTTGATTAATTGTTAGCAATTGCGGCACCCATCTTGCACAAAGCTTTTTCAACTGGTGCTACTACTCGAATGACTTGACAGATCGAATAAAATTTTACATGGGTTTATATCAGGGATGCCACTTTCCAATACAATTATAGTTTGACAGTTTCTAATGCCATGTATGTGTCAGGTCGAGAACTTTTCAGACTGCCTACGCATATATATACATGTATATTACTTTTCGCTATACGTTATAATAATTTTTTCAAATTAACTGGTATAACCCCAGTAAGAATAAAGTACAGTAAGAATAATCCTCTTAAAAAAAGATTAAGTAATCTGTGTACAAGAGGAAATTTATATTAAAATCAATAAGATTTGCATTATATAACATATAACATATAATCCCTCTAACTTTAAGAATAATGTGTTTACAATATATTCCTCTTAATCTTAGAAGAATCCTCCTGAGGCCATATATATATATATATATATATATAAGAATAAAATCCCCTAAAATTGAGATGATTCCACTTGTTTTGAAATTACTTTTTTTTGGGTGCCGTGACGATTCCACGGATATGTTTGACGCGATTACCTCGGCGTATACAAGACGCGTTCCGCGACGACGAAGCCCACGGTGACAAAGAGATTGGACGCGGGTAGGAACGGCAGCACCAGGAACATCCAACCAAGAACAAGAGGCGGATGCCTCTGTTGCTAAAAATAAAACGAGACGCATGATATATTACCTCAGACACTCGTCGATAAGCGGCGGTTTAATATCCTCGTTAAATCCGCCGCTTCAGCATCGAAATCTCTTTAAGCAAACTGCCGCGCAAGTTTCATCATCTTTCCGGGCGAACGTGCGCGATTAAAGTTTACGTTGTGCCGCGAGTTTATGCCGCTTTTACGCACGCGAACCCTCGGAAATGAATTTATGAAATTACGAGTGAACTCGCACTCGTAACTCATTACGTGAGCGCACTCGCGAGCTTGAAACGCGCAGCAAAGAGCGTTTCGGGGTCGTCGATATCGGCCGCGATTCGTCGCCGCCGCGACTTGTAGCCGTGAAGGCGCGGAAGGGCAGAGCCCGCGGCGGCGCGGCGCGGCGTGTCGAAAACAAAATGCTTGCAGAGAAAATAGATGGACCCATAAATAAAAATCAAATGACAAGTCGAGGTTGCGCGTAACGCGCTTTGAAACAACATTTGGACATCCAGCGCACCTTCGCGAGGAAACGGAATGTTTTCACAATTGCTAGGAGGAGTATAAAACGCAACGGCTAACGACAACAGGCATCAGTTTTCAAAGCTTCGTCGACGATGAAGATTTCAGTGATCTTGGCGTTTCTCTTCTTTGGGAATTTCGCATCGTCCGAGCCGCACCGGGTGCGGCCAAACGACAAAAGTGTGAAGGGTGAATCGTATCACGCAAATGACGGTGGAAGTGACAGTTCGAACTTCGCGCGAACGGAATCGTCGGACGAAGCGTCCAGTGGGAAAGACTGGGGAGGAGAAGATCGGCCGAGCTTCTGGCATCGAACGGTACGTCTAGACGCGCGTTAGCCGAGCGTCAAAAATTAGCCGAGGCTACGACGAGGTGTCGCAGGTTGCGCGAGTTGTCTGAAAAATTGTCCCGCGCGACGCTTACAATAAACGCTCGACCGCAATATTGTTTTCCAAAGTACGTGAAAACAGCTTTGCACACACGCGCGCTCACTTCATTCGGGGAATACGCGCGCGTATTAATGCGTATCTCGGCTTTTCAAACATAAAAATACCCATCGTAACTTTCCTGTTTGCGTAACAAAATAAAATGATAATACGCGTATGAATAATAAATCCCGACGCATAATCGCAACAGCCAAGCGAGCGTGAAATCTCGCCGAGTCGAGCCCGTACTTTTGTTTGCCGGGAGAAAAATCCCCTCGGATGATTCAGCCGAGATATTTATCAAAAGCAAAGCACGCTCTCTTAATTCACAAATGCGCTTTTTGGCCCGACCGGGCCGGGCGGTCGGAAAAATTGAGATGATAATGGGAAGTCCGATATATATTGAGAAACTATATCCCATCAAACGAAGAAGCGAAGATTCATCGGGTAATAACCATAATTCTTTCGTGAACATTCTTTCGTGGATTTAGGACAACACAAGGACGCTCGCCAGGCTCCTCGCGCCGGGAGAATCCGCCGCCGCCGACGAGGAAACGGAGGGCCACGGCAATCGCGCCAAGAGGGACTCCTCGGCTTTCCTGTGGGGCAACCCGTTCAGGAGCAGCGTGTCCCAACACTTGCTGAAATTGAGCGAGGCAAGCAGGAGCAACGTGCTGGGATCGGAGAAGGCGACCGTCGCCGAAGCGCTGAACGGCCGCGCCGCCATTCGCAGGATTCTCGAGCGGGCGAAAGCGAGAGCGGCCAAAGCCGTGCCGCACAAGGACCTGTACGACAGCGACGACTTCGGCAAATGGCTCTTGTCCGGATCATCCTTCGACACGAATATCTTTCGCCACTCGTCGCCGGCGCCGGAGCCGGCGGAAGCGGAAGAGCGCTCCGACGCCGAGGACTCGCGCCATCGCGCGTACTCGTCGAGCCTGCACGCGCCTCGTTTGACCCGTCTGTCGGATCCGACGAGTCGCCGGCATCGCCTTCGCGAAGGAGAACGCGCATCATCCGATGCCGCGGATATCCAGGACGCTTACGCCACGAGGTGGCCGCGACATCGGCAGCGTCTGTCGCCCGGATCGCGAATCACGGCGGAGAGCCGCGACGAGACGGACGGGATGTTCCCGAGCGAAGCCGCATCGCGCCATGCGCACCGATCGTTATCGCGTGAAGACGATACCGGGCTGCGCTATTATTTGCACGCATACGCGCCGCACATGCGCTTCCGTGCGACGGAAGGCGACACACCGCGCTGGAAACGCGTCGAGTGGACGCGCGGCGGCCTCGGAGGAGCTCGTGCGCTTCACTCCGCGGGCTCGCTGGAGTTCGAGCCGTCGGAGGATGACGCGGACGACGGCGACGACGACGACGAGAAGAGATTCGTATTTAGAAGGACGTACGAAGGCTTCGGAGGCGCAGAGGGGGGTGCTCGCGCCGGCTACGGGAAGAGTCATGAAGCTTCATCAGCGGCGGCGGATATCTACGGCATTAATCGCGACGGAGGCGAGGAAACGGAATTAACGGCGTCTAATCTGCATGGCAGGACAAAGCTGGGACGTAAACGGTATTATTACGGTATCGGGGATCGAGAGCGTTCCGTCTACGGCGACGAGGCAGACGCTATCGCCCGTGACGGCACAAGGAATCGCCACTTGGCGGATCTCGAGGCCGAACGCACGTCGCCTCGGGAGGAAAATATCAGAAAGGAAAATAAACAGCCCGGTGCTGAACGCTCCGCTATCTATCCCGCGACGTCGGCAGAAACGACCGAGGGCGTGGCGGAGGGAAAACAATCGGCGGACGCGTTAATAACGAGCATTTCCGCGGACACACCGGCGCGGAAGGCCGTCAACATCGATACCGAGCGTTATCGGCCGAGAGATCGGAACGCCGAAGCGACGTCGCTCTCGCCGAGCTCGCCCGACGAGGCGGCGAATAACGCAATCGATGATGGATCGGCCGCGGCAGGAGGGAGGAGAGCGACCGACAAGAGCGCCGACCATGGCGTCCTGCGAAGAACCCGGCCGGTAATTGACAATGATGCGGCGGCAGCGGGGACTGAGATGGATTTCGGTGGAATTAAAAATCACCTGCCGTGGGCTCGTTCATCGCGCTCGAAAACGCATCGGGCGAATCAGGGAGCCGCTATTGCGCACGCTATCGCGTCCGCGGACATGGGCGAGGACGCGCGAGGACTGAAGCGCGTAAATAAGCCGGGAGTTTCATCCGTCGGCAGAGACCACGGGAGTTACGATCTCGGGCGGAATGAAGAGGTCAATGCTGAGTCATCGGCGACCTCCTCGTCGCTCGGAAGCGAGCGTCGATACGACTTATTAAGAACCGCCTCGTCAGACGATTCACGCCGAGAGGACTACGCAGGTGGTAGGCAGGAGCACGCGGGGGTGAACGGGGGCGGTCGCGTCGCCGGCCGATATGGGACGTCGATGGAAACGATCGGTTCTCCCGATCGCAGCGGCGAAGAGTACGTGTTCATGCCGGAATTCCCGTTTTACGAGTTTCGCCTAGGATATAGGCCGTATCGGGTGAATTATTACGATTTCGACAGCGGGGAAGCGCGCGATGACGAGGAGACGGACGTCGGAGAGTCCAACGGAGATTTCAGAAAGGGTGATATTTATCGAGACGATTGGGAAAAGGAGGCGCTCTCCGATGACGATGAGACGTCGACAGTGTTCGCTTCGAGCGCACACAGATGGCCCAGCGGCCGCGTGGCCGATACGATCTTTACGATTTTAAACGATTCCTACGGCCGATATGGACGCGAGAAGCATGGCCGTTACGAACTTTACGATTTCAAACGATTCCTGCACGATATGTCGTGGTCGTTCGTTACGTCACACATCACCGACTGGGAAACTTGGAGAAGGTACATCGTGTACCTCTATTACATGTGGAAGTTGAAGGTCGAAGGGGAATCGGACGCGTCATTTGAAGATCCTGTATCCGCCGAGGACACCGGGGAGCAAGATAGCGCGATCGATGGAGAAATATCGTCAGGCAAACATGTGACGGACGAGGACAACCACATTCATCTGAGGAAACATGAGAAGCGGCTTCACGACGCGTGGGACTTTATGATAAAGAACGGCTTGACGAGGAATAAAATTAAATCAATCAAAGCTAAGAAGGAAAGAACGTCGAGAGAAGGAAAAGAAGGAGAAGGAGGGAAAGAAGCGATGAGCAGCGAGGATAATGCAAGCGACAAGAGCGAGGAACACCAAACTCTCACGCGTGCAAAAAGTGCGGACTCCACGGCAGGGTCGCGCAGCGATGAAGAAATAACTGACAACGACAGTCATCGTCCGCAGGACTCGCGGAAGTCGCTGTCATTGAAAGATTCCGCAGACGCAGACGCTGAGGCGAACGACGCTGACGACCCGCGCGGGAGAAGCGGAAACGTTGATATCGATACAAAGTGGAGCGCAGGAGCGACGGAGTCTGGAAATAATCTCCGACGCGTATCGACGTCTTCGACGTCTCGGTCGTATGCGCGATCGCGAGTGGACGAGCGTGCCGTTAGTAAGTCGGAAAATATCGGGAAAATTGTGACGCAAACGTCGGGTGAGAGGAATGAATACCAGGTCGGAGCCGATTCGTACGGCACATCGGCGACGTCTTCCGGGTCGACTGGCGAATCGCAGATTGGAAGGATGCACCGCTCGAAGGAGCAGTCGAGAATCGATCGGATGAACGCGGAAACATTAACAGAAGCGGCCGCGTCGAGCAGCGCGATAAATAAATCTCGGTCCAACGTGCGAGACGCGACAGTCGACTCTGTGTCATCCGCAAGAGCAACCTCTACGCAAGATGGGCAGGAGTCAGTATCGGAGAACGCGTCTTCATCTTCTACTTCCTCTGCCGAGGCTGAAGTCAGCAATTACTCGGCAAGCGCGGAGAACGTTCAGATGAGCGTTACAAATTCGATCGCGACGTCATCCGCGTCATCCGCGAAATCTGGGGCGAAAGCCGAGCAAACGAGGAACAATTCTAGGAATATTCAAGCAAGCGCTGATGCAAACACGTCATCGACAGCGGTGCTCTCGAATAATTCACGAAATGAATGGTCGGTATCATCTTCGATGTCATCGGAAGAATCTCGAGCGAAATCAGATTACCATCTGACTAATCGTAAAAATAGCGCTATTTCGAGAATATCGAAAGACCCAGCGTTATCCGACACTGCAGAGAAGGATCGTCGATCTCACTTGCAAAGATCGTTCTCTTCGTCCTCTTCCACAACGGAGGAATCGCAAGCGAGATCTCAGCAGAATTCCAACAGCGTTCAAAATAGCCGAATGAATGTCGCCACTGTGGAATCATCGATGGCATCGTCCTCGACTAGTGCCGAGAGCGATTACTGGTCTGATTCAGCCACATTCTCGTCGTCCGAATCATTGGAAGAATCGCAGCTACGCAGCTCGAGCGATGCTATTATTAAACTACAAAGAAGTAACGCTGAAGATCGGTCCGAATCGAAAAGTGCGTCGTCTTTGAAATCGCACTCAAAGAATAAATACAACTCGAGCGTTAGAGAAGGCGACGAGAAGAATGCTGTTAACGTAGGCGCGTCGTCGGAAGCGACGAGCTCCGTTGGTGCAAACGATGATCGTCAACAAGAGTCGATAAGTTCGTCGGCGTCGTCGTCCTCTGCCTTTGCAGAGTCGCGAATGGAAAACAGAAATACAAAGGGTTCGATGTCGAGCAAGATTTCCAGCAACGTTACCGACGACACGAGCCAACGTTGTTCAGCGACATCACAAGCAACGGCAAGCAAGGACGACCGGAGGATCCAAGAGGACCCGCAAACTATTAGCCGCAAATTTGCGACAGATACCAATGATAACAAACGTGAACGCGAAGACAACGCAGCGGAAGAAACGCGGTTTGTTGACTCAGAAAATAAGGGCGACGCGGAAGCGTCTACAAGCGATGAAATTATTGAAAAAGAAGAGAGCACGGGAGAAAATGCGTCAAACATGGCGGCGTCGACGACGACGACGGTGACTTCCACCGGCACTGGGAGCGCGCAAAATGCGACAACAACGTCCTCATCGATCGACTCGGAGGTGGAAGCGAGAACATACAGCGAAAATTTGAGCGAGCTGGAAAGGCGCGAAGCGGCGACCGGTAATTCGGCGACGTCGAGGGGATCGGGTGAATCTGACGATAACGATAGGAGCAAATTGCTGAGAACGTCGTCTGCGTCTAAATTGCACGGTGCTCTGACAGGGGGAAGGGACGTTGCACAAAACAGTCGGAAGTCAATGGCCGTGGCGAAAGCGTCAGCGGAGTCCACGGTTTCGAGCAACAATGTACGATCGCGGGGCGAATCGGCGGAGCAGTCGGCGTTATTTGAATTCTCCGAGGAAGCGCGCCAGGGACAAAGGAGCTCCGACATTCGTCGAGAAAAATCCGAAAGTTCCGCGAGCGAGGCAACATTTAATGCCGTTAACAACAGATGTCGGAGCGGCGCGCAGAAAGACGTATCGTCCGCTGTTTCATACAAAGAACTGCAGACGGACGGCAAGCTGAGACGAAGGAGCGGGGCAAGTACGGAGAATTCCGTAGAGACTTTGGAATCTGCGTCTCTCCTGCGGAATAACGAAGAGGAAAATGTCAAGCGAGCCTCGTCGTATGATTATCGCGACGACGAGCGAGAAGAAAACGAGATCAATTCCGGAGACAGGGTGAAATATCCGAAGGATGCGAGTAACGTTCACGAAGCGATGTCAACAGGATCGGCAAGCTCCGCTGTCTCCGATAACGCGAGCCGAAACGATCCGCTGAGAATACCGTCGGATAATCCACGCGCGGAATCGCTGCGGGAAAATCAGGATAAGTCGGATATTCATCCGGCCGCTGACGGGACCGAAATTACGTCCAGCGACGGTGGACAAGCACGCGGGGACACCCCGCGAAAGTTGGTATTTCCAAGTAACTCCGGTGACGAGGCGCGAATGACGCGCGGGGACGATTATGATGCTACAAAGAAATTAGCAACTGTCAACGGCGATGAGAAGTTCGAAGAGGTCAATTTGCGGGAAATTATGTCGCCTGGCGGGTCACGAGGGAGAGATAAAAACGTCGAGCGCACGACGGAAAGTGTCCAGGATGCGACTGATGGATCCACGTCAATTCACACGGGCAGCGTCGATATTGAAGGCGACCCTCGAGAGGACTCAGCCGCTGGCGTTCAAGACGCGGCTCAACTAGGATCAACGGCATCGGCTGATACGCGAGCTCGATCGGAATCGAAAGCTAAGTCGAGTATCTCGAGGGAAAAGCAGCTGATTACCACCGAAACTGGCGAAGCGCACGTTATCAACGCACAATGGCGCACGAAGCAACGAACAACATCCGCGTCATCGACGTCGTGGTCTTCGCACGCGGAGACGCAAAGTGAGGCGGAAAACACGTCGCGGACGGAAGCATCGGCGGAACTGGCAACAAGCAGCGGCAGGAACGGAAATTCAGCCGAGGGTGGCTCGATCCGAGAAGAATCTCTGCCGACTTCTCGGGGCTTCCGCAATTACGACGATCTGAAAGTGGACGATCCAAAAGACGCCGCGAGGGCAAAGGCATCAGCGGAAACATCAATTCCCGCCAGTTCTCCGACCGAAAGTCAGGATGACGCGAAGAAGCAGGCATCCGCAATGTCGTCGCAGCTGAAGCGACACGACTCGAACGTTCAAGAGGCAGCCAAGGCGACCGCCTGGACTGCGCTGCTGTCGACGCACGAGACCGAGTCCGACGGAATGCAAAATGCACAAAAGCGGAAGTTGTCGGGATTCGTAAGCGACGCCGTGGCGGAAGCTGCGGAAGTTACCGCGAGCGAGTCCCGAGAAGAATCAGCGGGAGTCTCGTCGGAGTCTGATTCGCGCGCGGAATCTCTGAGCGAGGACGAGCGCGGTTCAAACGCGGCCTCACGGCGAGGCCTAGCAACCGCGAGCGCGGCAGCGTCGGTCGATCCTGCTCGCGAAATCAAGGACGTCCTGGAGGAGAAGCTCGCGAGTGCCGCGGATGCGACTGCGTCGGCGAGAGAAACGAGCGTGATTACGGACGAGTCAGGCCAAAGTGCCGTGACGACGACGACGACTACATTGTTATCCAATTCACGCGCAGAGGCGCGGGCTTTCAGCGCCACGAAGGACAGCGTCCTGAGAAGGGAGGGTGTCGTTAACAGCGTGCGAGCCGCCGCGAATACCGCGACATCCGGCGAGACAATGTCCTCGAGGAGCGTGCAGGACTCGTCGAAGACAATCTCGCACGACGAGTCGCGAATGGACAGCACGCGCACGTTGAATGCAGCGGAGAGCATTGAAGAGACCGTCAAGGCGAAAGCGGCGTCATTAGTATCAGCGGCCGCCGCTGGATGGGGAGAACATGTAGGTAACTTGATGAGGGAACAATCGAACGCGGATCCTCGGAATCGAGGGGTGACAACGACCGAGAAGAAAGACCCGCGTAACAGCGAGGTCGCCGAGGCGGCGGGACAAGCAACGAGCAGCGAAGTTAAAAACGATCCTGAAGAGAAGAACGAGCGTGAATCGAGACTTCCTCAAGAGCAGCGTTTAATTACCGTGAATTACCCAACGGCGTCATCCTCCTCGGAGACTTTCAGTCACGCTGACAGTATTCAGGAGAATAATGTTCAGGACACGGCAGAAGAATTCCTCGCGACCTCGTCGAGTGATTCTCGCGCAAAGTTCGACGTGCAGGGTGAAGGAGATCGTGCGAGTGCGAGCGCAACAGCGCGGACAATGACTTCCTATGAATTCGGGGACACGGAGGCGGATAAATCGCTCCAAAGGACATCATCATCCGACGCGGACGCGCAAGCGACTGCTGAGACTACCAACGACCCGAGTGCTGTTGCAGAAGCGAGAAGAGAAGCGGCAGGAAAAGGCTCGGTCGCTGGAAAACACGCGGGTCTGTCCGACTTATTGAGCGACGCAGCCGCGAGAATGCGAACGATTTCTCGCGAAGACGTAATTAGACGGAGTCTTTCGCAAACGTGGTCGAGCGCGCTCTCCGAAGCGCGAGAAGTCGAGAGCGCGACCGCGAGAGTCCTGGCTGACTACGAAAGCCGCTCCGGGACTGGAAGCGGCGATCAACGCGATGAGCAAGGAGACGCATCCTCATCTGGTATTCGGGACAGCCGACGCGACGTAATGAAATCGACGTCATCAGCGAATTCTTACGCAGCGGCGCGGACCACGAGCGAGGGTATCGCTGAAGGAGTCGAAGGAGTTCGCCCGAGTGGCTGGCTGGTTACAACGTCAGACGCTGCCGCTTGTACGGAAGAAAGCGCACAAAATAAGGATAAGTTGAATGCTTCGCGACAAATTGGGGAAGTTGCTGTCTTCGCGGAGACGTCGGGGGGAGCGGCAGCCGCCGCTCGCAATATCGAAAGCGAGCAGCGTGAGGAAGCGGGCGGGTATCAGGGTGGCTTAAATGTCGCGACGAAAGTCCGCAATACGTCGGCCGCTGCCTCGGCCGAGACAATTACGTCGATGAAGACGGAGAACGAGAGTGAGAGCGAGGCCGCTTGGAGTGACGAAGTAGCGGCGTCGTGGTCCGACGGAGCGGAAACGCGAATAAAAAGCGACGTCTCGCGCGATTCGGCAGCGCGGAGTTCAGCGACGTCCGCAACGTCATCTGCATCCGCGTCCACCTCGGACGTCCTGGCTACGAGTCTGAAGGCGAGATACCGTCAGATCGGTAATGGAATGTCGGCGATCGTTCCGCCGTCGAATGAGCTACACCTTTCCTCGGGAGGAGCCGCGCTGTACCCGTCGCGCGAAATTAGTAAATGCGATGAGAATGTCGAGACTAGAGAGTTCATTAGCGAGGCGACCAGCTTGCAGCAGGTAAGCAAGCAGCGCGATATCAACGCTCTGGTAATCCATCTCTCGCGGGGGAGGGGGCGTGATAAATGATGCCGAGGTGATCTATACTTTGCTCTACATCTCTCTCTCTCTCTCTCTCTCTCTCTCTCTCTCTCTCTATTCTTCTCTCTGTCTGTCTTCCTCTCGCCCTTAAATGGCACGAAAAGTTGATCCATATTAACATCCAGTGTATTGCATTTAATGGAATTTTAAATCGTTGCGCTTCTCGAGCGGATTATATTTTTAAGCGGCATTACTTTCAACAGATGCTGGAGAAGCAACGGGGCAGCGAAATCCTGCTGATGAAGAAGAATCCCAGAGGACCTGTTCAAGTAGCGAGCCTCAAGAACAGCGTGCCGCCGCTTGTAGCGTATCGACTAATTCCACGGGAGGTGTACGAGAGAATACGAGCGATAATCGCGAGCGAGCGAATCTTTTGCGCCAGCTGCGCACTCTCGAGCGCTTAAAACGAGCAACACTGTATAATTATATCCTATACGCACCATGTCGTCGATCGACAGAAACTAATTTAACGGGAGATTTTACGTAGATAGAAGGACTTTCGCAGGCGTAGACTGTTTTGTGTTTCAACACGCCGTTGCGCGTATCGTAAATTGCGCGACTCGCCGCACCGAAGAGAAATCGCCATTACAAATATCGTAGACGCAACTCCGACACGCGGCGTGGCGCGTCGTCATCGATATATATTTACCATCAGCAATCTATTTAATACGACTGTCATCGTTTGTATCGCATTGTAAATAAACATCCACCGGATAAAATCTCGAGGAAAGCGCCGCCGCACCGCCTCTCTCCCCGCGCCCACCGCCCCACGCAGATACGAAGTTTCTGCTTAAAGACATAATTCCAATATTCCGCTGAAGTTTTCTCCGGCTGGATACTGCGAGATTAAAGTTTATGTCGGGGTAAAAAAAAGCAAGAGAAAGCGGTGGCGGCGAAGAAGAAGAAGAAGAAGAAGAAGAAGAAGAAAAAGAAGAAGAAGAAGAAGAAAATCTATAAGTTTCGAGACATTCGCGAAAGCCGAGAGACTGCGCCGGGTATTATAGGCAGCCCGTGAACATGTACTGTATACACGGAAGGCCGACGATGAAATAGGAAGCAACCGCGCTTGTAAAAAGATTTTCCTCCGCGGGCAGCCACGTAAACGCGTCGAGCGTTCAGCGCGGGAGAGCAAGGATGACCTCGTTCGCCGAAGAAGACGTTCGTTTCCGCTCGGTACCCGCGAAGAACCGGATGACCGGCGCTGCCGCCGCCGCCGCCGCCGCCGGCGGCGGGTAGAGAAGTGTGTGAACGGCGGCGTTAAAGCTGCAGATACGACCTCTTTGAGGAAAAGTGGCCGCGCCGACGTGCACGTAGCTTAAAGAGGTCATTTCGCCGAAGGCTCGGCTCCGCCGGCGTTGCCGATGGATGAATCGGAAAGCGCGGCGGATAGCGATGCGGTTTACGAGACGCGCTTAACGTTTGACTTAGAGACTCGCGCCGTGTGATTACTACGGGAGTTCTTTTACGACTCTCAAGCCCCGGCTGGTACAACTTCATCGTCATCGGCGGCGGCTTGGTCGGCGGAAGCGGAGGCGCGGAGAGCGTTACGTTCCTCCTCACGGCCTCCCCACGGCGGAAACGTTTAATCGCGGGATGACATTTCGCAGACGATAACCGCCGGGGCTATTCCGCTTTACGTTCGCGTAAGATCGCCGATAACGTCGGCGAGTCTGTCGCGATACCGGCGGCTCTTTGAAAAAGGCTCACTCTCTTCGCGCGACGTTCACGGGACGCTGGAATAAAGCGGCGGAATGCGCGATATTAGGAAGCCTCTTATCCGAAGGACGCATGACCTGATTTCCCACGCGACGCGCTGGCCGACAAGAACGACACGGTTTTTCCCGACCGGAAAGGGGGCAGGGGGGGGGCCGGGGTAGCTGTTCGCTCGATGACTTCCGAAACATCGCATCCGGCAATCTCGCGCGAGAAGCTTCCGGAGCTCACTCACCTCGAAGTCCGTGAAGGCTTTGTACGTGAGTATCAAACAACCGCCGAAGAATATACAAGTCGCCAGATTCCTGGTGTCCGAGAAGGACGCGACCAGAGGAACGGAGCCCATCTGCCAGTCGTGCGAGAGTATAGCCGGGCACAGGAGTAGCCAACAGTTGAGCGCTGCCAAGTAGCAGAAGGTCAGCAATCTGAAATGATAAACGACCGACAATGCGGCGTTGAGCGATGGCCACTGTGAGAAGAGCAGGAGGAGGGAAGGGGTTACGTTTCTAAATTATATCAAACGCGATAAGAGACACCGACGAGATCGCGCGCGCGCGGTCGGAAGTCGTCACTTTCTCGCTCCGGATGCGAAGGGAGACGCTTTCTTAGCCGTCGGGTTTTTCCTCAATGTCGCCGAGCGGATCTGTCTCGCCCTGCCTTCTCCGTGGCGCGTCCACATCTCTTGTTTTCTTTTTCGCGAGAAAAATTGACCGCCCGGTCGTCGCGACGAAGACAAGCTCGCACGATCGGTATTGTCCTCCGGGCACGAGCGCGCTCAAGAGGTCGGCCAATGGAGGCTGGAGTGGTATCCTCCAGTTGCTGACATCGAGCTTCCATTTTCTCACTATCAGCGTCTACCGATATAATCACCGATATAATGCCTCCGTCTCGCTACCGCTTCCTCCCTCACGGCTGGCGTCTGCGCGATCTTCGACAGGGAGATATTCTCTCCCTCTCCCTCTCCCTCTCACTCTTGGTGTATCGTCGCGCTCCCGGGACGGCTTACTCGGCAAGTCTATTGTCTCGCGAACAAGCCCACGCACACAGCCCGGCCGCATAACGCGCAGGTAAATATTCGCCCCGGCGCGAGTGCCGTTGTGAGTGTTAATTCCGACGGCTCACACGAGTCCCTCTAATTGTCCACGGCGCCAGCAGATGCGTCGCGGATCCGCCGGCATCGACAATATTCGCCGCGTAGCCGAAAAGTAAGCTCGGTGGCGCAAAGCGAGAAGATCCTCGCCGACGCGCGGGAGTATATCACGAATTGATATCGCGAATTGCAATTCGATGGAGACAGGTGGAGATGTACGCGAATTATTCAAGCTCGAGTCGAATCGACAATCGGGTGAGATTCGCCTCGATTCGAGTTCGAGTCCGAACAATTCGAGGATGCGGAGTCGCAAAAATTTACAACCGGCATGTAAGAACTCGAGTAGAAAAATTAATAGGGCTCTGGTAAGGGCCTGATTATTTTTCTCTAACGTTAGTCGGGCCCTAGTAGGGGTAGAAAGGACCCTACAAGATGTGTAACAAATAGTTTAACGAGTCTTTATAAGGCAATATTATGAGGGCATTATAAGACAATATCAACAGAGCCTTATGAGGCAATATTAATAACAGGGTCTCATAAGGAAATATTTTTATTATTGCTTCAGTAAGAATATTTGTTCTTTTCATTCCAAGAAATTTAGACTGTAATTTCTTTATTTCTTTATGATCTTGTTAGTATACAACAAGAACTTTTTATTTTAAAAATATAGCATACTTTACAATAAAATAGTATTCTTTACACATAAAAATCCTGCTACTATTTTTATTAAAGTTTGTTGCATTTCAAATCGAAGGCAATATTAGAAAAATTCTTGGAACAGACTAATGAATATGGCAACTAATAAAACTAATAAAATATTTTTAATTGCGGTATAATTAAAAAATCTTTAAACGAACGTACCTATACTACAGATAGAGCGTATTTACTAAAATAATATTAAACTGTGACAATTTTATTATACGCTTCAGATCTTATTAACTTTCTATAACAAAACTTGATTTTGTACATCTAAAGCATCCTTAAAAAATCCTTCTAAGGCCCGCATCAGTTTTCCATGTTAAAGCCTTATTTCGTAAAATCTAAGGCATTCCTAAAATATTCTTCTAAGGCTCTTCTCAGCTTTCCCTATCAGGACCTTATTTATTAGATCTAAGATATCCCTAAGAAATCCATCTCGAGGCCTAATGTGGTAAAATAATGAGACCTTCCTTTTTAGGGCATTCTACTTTCAGCCTTATCGGGGTCTTATGCTTCATGAGGATGGTTCTAATCTTTGCGCTCGGGAAAGTTCACAGGATTCTCGTGGCTGAGACGATATTTCTCTCTTGAAAAGAATCGATTGATCCGCAAAATTGAGTGATTAAAAAGGGGCAGAATGAAGTCTGAAAAAAATAATCATTATTCGGACATTGTCACTCTTTCTCGCGGTTTAAAATTATTCGCGATAATACTCCGCCAATCGTGTTGCCAATTAAAAGTTGGGTCTCGACGATTCGATTCGATTCGCTTCGATTCCTGCGGGCGGAATCTCGTCGATTGGGCTCGACGCAAAAAAAGCCCCGATTCGCACGTCTTCGACAGACAGTCACACATCGAGATGGACACTCGAACCGCAGTCTCACCATCTCCGGATAACGAGCGACGTGCACTTTTGTCGCACTTTAATACGGCGGTTTAACACATTCCCGATGAGCCGCGCGCGCGCGGCTTCTCCCAAACGGGGGAACGTCAAAACGAAACGAGAGGGACGTTAAAATCTGAATATAGAGTGACACTCTAATTGCTACCTCGGCGCGCAAAAAAACGCCCTGCACGCCGCACGCAGCTGGTGGCCGGCAGCGCCGCCGTGCCGCTCGTCCAGCGCGAGCTCGCGATTTTTATCTCTTTACTATTTCGTGTGCTTGAGCACGTGTATTATACTGTTACCTCGCTAATTAATATCCACCCGAGCGAGCCCCCGCGGTCGGTCAGGAGATGAAAACCGCGATGCGGCTCGCTAAAAGGACCAAGACAGTGATACGTACTTCCACCTCCTGCCCCCGAACCAACAGCTGTCATTTTTCGGCATAATTTTTCTTGCCCCAGGGCTATCTATATTTTCATTTCGTCGAAATGATTAACGAGCCGGGGCCGGCGTCGCGGCCGCTCGACCGGGCGGGCGGGCGGGGCGGACGGGGGAACCCGTGATGCGCGTGAATAAAGGGCGACCTCGGAAATATCAAAATAATAATTTGCGGCATATATCAGGCGCGGCGCACGTACCGCCATATGAAAGAGCGGGATTTGCCCGGCGAAGACGGTCGCGCGCTTGCCGCTGGAGGCTGACGTATAGCCGCACGTCCAGCCTTTTTGGAAATCGCGCGGTATTACAGAGATTGCTATAAATCTCGGAAGGATATTCCCAGATTTGTGGACTTTCATGGACTCCCATGGACTCGGGCCAGGACAAATGTCCGCTTTTCAAAGCCAGACTCCCCCGTGTGTCGCGGCGCTCACCGCTTCATAATAGATAAGAGAGCGCGCGCGGGCTGCAGCCGGAGACGCGTTTTGTCTTTATTTACGTTCGCCGAGCATGTGAAAGAAGTGAATAAGTGGCTCGCGCGAGCGTGGAACCGGGCAATAGATATTAATAAAAAACGCAGCTCCCCGTTGTGATATTCATGGACCTGCGTTTGCAAATTGCTCGAGCTGACTCTTTGTTGCGGCTATCTATCTTTTCTCTCCTCTCTCTCTCTCTCTCTCTCTCTCTCTCTCTCTCTCTCTCTCTTTCTTCCGACAACGTCACCTTCTCCCGTAATGTTTCTCGTTTGTTAGTGAAAGTATTATATATTAAGTGTCGGATTTTTGCAAATTTTATTAATAAAAAACGCAACTCCCCGTTATGATATTCACGGATCTGCGTTTGCAAATTGCTCGAACTGACTCTTTGTTGCGGCTATCTTTCTTTTCTCTTCTCTCTCTCTCTCTCTCTCTCTCTCTCTCTCTCTCTCTCTCTCTCTCTCTTTCTTCCGACGACGTCGCCTTTTCCCGCAACGTTTCTCGTTTGTTAGTGAAAATATTATATATTAGGTGTTGGATTTTTGCAATCGATACGGTGGAATTAATCGATTGCTTCACAGTCGAGAATGTTTCATTAGGACGGCTCACAGCAGACACTGTTTCTTGCTGGTCTCCCCTCTCTCCCCCTCGCCCCCTTCCACCGATCGTTTGTCAAGGCGAGCAACTTTCAGAAAAAGCTCTCTTTTGAAGCCGTCATTCGCGTAGAAACGCGATGTCATTAGCTTTTAATCGTAGCGTTCCATCAATTCGCCCTCTCTTTCATTCAACCGTCCTCTTTTTCCCGCGCGCACTTTCGTGATATGCGGGAATCGATCCGCTGCCGATACTCATAAGCAGTAAAGTTTTCCGCCCGTATCCTTGCGACGTTAAAGTATTGTCGGCTTTTCAAATTACGCGCATTGCGTCAATCACGGCAAATCCGCGCGTATATCTCGTGACGCGGGGAGGAGAAACCAAAGCCGGAATTCGCGTAGCCGAGATGAGATGTCGTTAAAAGACAAAAAAGAAAAAAAAAGAAAAAATGAAAGGGAAAAAACGAAAGCGGGGAAAACACACAAACGCGCCAATTAAAATTTCAACTCGAGTGTCCGGTAACGTTTGCAGAAATTAAACGGGTAATAACAAGGATCAGACATTATTTAATGAAATAACTGTTATTATCGCATTTATCCCCAATGAAATTGTTTCCTGCTTACGCTTTATAACCTCGTGACATTTCACGTCGTGTCTACTCAATAATTTTAATCTCTGCGACTATACACGGCCTCGAAAAGAGACGCGGTATTCGCGTTGAAAAGAAATAACGATTCACGTGAGAGAGAGAGAGAGAGAGAGAGAGAGAGAGAGAGAGAGAGAGAGAGACAGAGAGAGAGAGAGAGAGAGAGAGAGAGAGAGAGAAAATCAGCGGGAATATTAGATATTAACATTCCCTTAGAACGTGTCCTAGTGGGAGGATGACAATCTCACTCAGCACTCGATGCGATCAATCATGGCCGGGAAATTCATGAAACCAGGTGCAAAGTGGAAACTTTAATCGACGCTCGCGTGATAAGTTTTTTGCACCGTCGTTTGTCCGCCCGTTCATTCGTTCGTTCGTTCGTTCGTTCGTTCGTTCGTTCGGTCGTTCGTTCGTTCGTTCGTTCGTTCGTTCGTTCGTTCGTTCGTTCGTTCGTTCGTTCGTTCGTTCGTTCGTTCGTTCGTTCGTTCGTTCGTTCGTTCGTTCGTTCGTTCGTTCGTTCGTTCGTTCGTTCGTTCGTTCGTTCGTTCGTTCGTTCGTTCGTTCGTTCGTTCGTTCGTTCGTTCGTTCGTTCGTTC